TTCAGCAGGCAAATGAAATGTAAATCAAAACCACATGGAGGGCTTCCCTGGTGGCACAGTGGTTGAGAGTCCACCTGCCGATGCAGGGGACACGAGTTCGTGCCCCGGTCCGGGAGGATCCCACATGCCGCGGAGCGGCTGGGCCCATGAGCCATGGCTGCTGAGCCTGCGTGTCCGGAGCCTGTGCTCCGCAACGGGAGAGGCCACAACAGTGAGAGGCCTGCGTACCGCAAAAAAAAACAAAAAACAAAAAAAAACACATGGAGACACCACTTCAGGATCACTAGAATTGCCATAATAAAAAAGACAATAACAAGTGTTGGTGAGAATGTGGGGAGATTGCAGTAGTCACACACTCTTGATGGGAATGTAAAATGGTGCCGCTGCTTTGGAAAACAATGGCAGTTCCTCCGAATATTAAACAAAGAATTGCCATGTGACTCAACAATTCTACTAGGTATATACCTGAGTGAAATGAAAACATACACCCATGCTCACCACAAAAAGAAATGGTGATTATGTGACATGATGGAGGTGGAAATCATTTTGCAATATATGTGTATTAAATTAATCCATTGTACACCTTAAACTTATACAATGTTATATGTCAATTATAGCTCAATAAAACTGAAGAAAAACAAAAAACTTATGTCCACAGAAAAACTTAAAAATGAATGTTCATGGCAACATTACTCATAAGAGCTAAAAGGTGGAAACAACCCAAACATCCATCAGCTGAAGAATGGACAAATAAAATGTGGTAAATCGATATAATGGAATATTATTGAGCAAATAAAAAGGAATGGAGTAGTTACATGCGACCACATGGATGAATGCTGAAACTATTATACCAAGTGAAAAAAGCCAGATACAGGACTTCCCTGGCGGTCCAGTGGTTAAACCTCCGAGCTCCCAATGCAGGGGGCACAGGTTCTATCCCTGATCGGGGAAGATCCCACATGCCGCACGGTGTGGCAAAAAAAAAAAAAAAAAGCCAGATACAAAAGACCACATGTTGCATCATTCCATTTATATGAAATGTCCATTTATATGAAATTTATTATAGACACAGAAAGTAGATTAGTGGTTGCCTAGGGCTGGGGGTTGGGTGGCAGGGAAGAGGATGGACTGCTAATGGGTACAGGGTATTTAGGGGAAGGCATGAAAGCATTCAAAATTGATCATGATGGACTTCCCTGGCGGTCCAGTGGTTAAGACTCTGTGCTTCCAATGCAGGGGGCGCGGGTTCAATCCCTGGTTGGGGAACTAAGATCCCACATGCCGCATGGTGTGGCCAAAAAACCCCGAAAAACAGAAAAAAACTGATCATGATGATGTTTGCACAACTCTGTGAATATACTAAAAACCACTGAATTGACTGCTTTAAATAGATGAATGGTATGGTATATGAATTATACCTCAACAAACCTGAAATATATATAGTTCTTGATTCTGATATATACAGTTTTTGCTTTTGTTTGTGTCTGGTGGCATTCCAGTCCAAATGGCAACACGAGCACATATTGTGGATGCCTCATTAATATTTTGATTTTTTTTTTTAATCTGTAACCATGAGGGGAAAAATAGACATGCCTTGGGTGTGTAACCGCACAACTAATGTTTACTGTGAGCTTGTGCCTGGCTCTGTGATGAGAACTTGATGTTCTGTGTGATATAGTCCTTATGAGAAAAAGTGCGGTGTGGCAGTTTGGGCCCCCGGGAAACCAACTCCGAAGTGGAGATCTGCACAGAAGAGGCTCGTTAGGGAGTTGCTCCTGGGATGAGCACCCGTGGGAGGAAGGGAAGGGGCAGCACTGGGTGGAGGGAGAAGTTGGATCCGACACAGTCTCAGTAGAGACTGAAGCAGACACTGTGGGGAGTTTCGAAGATGGGATGGCCCTTCAGAGCCTATGGGGTGTGAGGACCAGGCCTTAATACAACCTTGCCCATCAGCCAGTGGATGCTGGCCACTCCCCGGGGAAGATGCTGGCTGTTCTCCCCAGTGAGGCAGCTCACCATAGGGGCTGACAGTGGGGGAAACAGCCTTCATTCCTGATGCGGAATCTGGGTGGCACGTCAAAGCATCCATCATGATTATTATCTGAATATTACAGATAAGAAAATTGAAGCCTAGACAGGCTAAGTAACTAGCCCAATGTGGCAGGTGAGTATGTCGCAGGAGGCATTCAAATCTGAGATTTGGAGGAGGCTGGCTGCAGAGCTGAGGGCTTTTAGCTAAACTGCCTCTGCCCTGATGAACTTTGAGAGGCTAGGATGGAGAAGAGAACCACAGCCGTGTACTGCAGAGGACTGCTCCCTCCAGAGGCGCTGCGCAGCCAGGAGTGGTGGGTTCCTGGAGCAAGGGCCCCTCTGCGGCCACCAGCAGGGTGGCTTGTTAGAAAACTGCAGTATTCTCCACCCCACGCTCCTCTGGACCAGCCCCAAAGCGCCAAGCTCCCCTCCCCAAGAAGACATGCTATCGAGCTACCTTCTGCTTCTGACTCCTCCCTCCCACCCACCTGGCAACCCCCCAGCCCATAATGCAAACAGAGACCACATTAAAAATGAACAGGGAGTCTCATATCAGGGAGATGAGCAGGCAACCGAGTAAACTGGAAGCCAGAATGAAACTCCCATCACCTCGTTTTCCGTAAATAATATAGATATCAGACACCAGAGATGGGGTCAAGCAAAGGAGATCATCTCTGCGAACGTTGGAATTATTGTTTTTCACTTACGCGCAGTATCAGTCAGAGCTCCTCCTAGTAGTAGAAACCAATTCCAGCGGATTCAAGAGGAAGAGGAATATATTAAAAAGAAATTGGAGCTTAGATCACCAGGAGGCCTGGAGAACCAGAACCGGTCCCTCGAGGATAGTGATGCTTCTGGAACCCAAACCTTGCAGCTGGCTTCACCGACCCTCTTGGCCAAGGACCCCTCTGTTAGCTTCTGCCGGCTGCCCCAGGAACTCTGTTGTGTTCAGACACCTCCTCAAGCACCTTCCACAGTCTCTTCTCTTTGGACTCAGCCCTTAGGGCAATCTGGAAGTGCAGGGCAGCTCTCAACCAGTGGGATGCAGGCGTCTTGGATAAATGCCCCAGGCTGCCATCCTTGGGGCCCTCCTGCATGGTCCCCAGCAGGCGTGAGCCTGGTTGCTCACAGAGGAAACAGCTCAACAACGCTCCCTTCACTGGCTTTTCCTCCTTCCCTATCTCAGCATCTCACACTCGACTCCTTCACTCCCGCTTCCTGGGGACACTTCCCAAATAAACTCCCTGCACTCAAGTCCCGACTGGGGCTCTGCTCTCTGGGGAGCACAAGCTGAGACACACACACGTACTAAAAGCACCAAAAAAGGCCTGGTTACAACCACATTCATGACAGATAGGGAAGAAGGGAGAAGAATGGAATTAGGAAACGGGTGACAAAGAGGATTTTAACTTAAATCACCATAAAGTTTGTCTGTTTCTACAAAATGCGTATATCACTGAAGCAAAAATGAAAACATAAGGACATTTTTAAACGTTGGGTATTACCACCTCCCACCCCTTAAGGAGGGCTATTATCCAAAAAAAACCCCATAGAAAAATAGAAATGAGGGACTTCCCTGGTGTTCCAGTGGTTAAGAATCTGCCTTCCAACGCAGGGGACGTGGGTTCGATCCTTGGACGGGGAACTAAGATCCCACATGCTGCAGGGCAACTAAGCCCATGCGCTGCAACTACTGAGCCTGTGTGCTGCAACTAGAGAGAAGCCCGAGTGCTGCAACGAAGGGCCTGCGCACCGCATTGAAAGATCCTGCACTATGACCTGATGCAGCCAAAAATAAATAAATAAATATTTTAAAAAGAAAGAAAGAAAGATAAACAGAAAAGAACGAGTGCTGGTGAGAATTGGAGAAATTGGAACCCTTGTGCATTCCCTGTGCAGCCTCAGTAGTTGTGGCTCGCAGGCTCTAGCACGCAGGCTCAGTAGTTGTGGCGCCCGGGCTTAGTTGCTCCTCGGCATGTGGGATCTTCCCGGACCAGGGATGGAACCCGTGTCCCCTGCATTGGCAGGCAGGTGGATTCTTAACCACTGCACCACCAGGGAAGTCCCAGTGCCACGTTTAGTGGTGCCAGGATGGGCCAGAGGAGTCATGTGGTGTCAGCCTGATCCCTCCAGGATCCCACCTCATGGTTTTAGCATTCATTGATGAGCATTGCCTTATGGTTTGCTAAGATGGTGGTTTTCTAATTCTATTATTCCTCCTGCACTTATTACTGGAATTCTGTAAAGAACTTTCCTTTACCGGTTCTATGATTTCACTAAAATAGTTTGAATAGGAAAGAAAATTTTTTACAGCGACTCCTGTGAGCCTTTTTTCCCTTTGGTAATTTTTTAAATTTTGAAATAATGTTTGACTTACAGAATAGTTACAAGAATAGGACAAAGAACTCTCATAGACCCTTCACCCAGATTCCCCAATTGTTTGCATTTCACCCCTTTTGCTGACTCATTTTCTCTTTCATATATACAACTTTTTAACTATTGGAGAGTGAAGTGCACACATAATGCTCCTTTACCTACAAATACAATAGTGTGTATTTCCTAAGAACAAGGACATACTCTTAAATAATCATGAACAATGGTTGATATCAGAAAATTAACATTGATACAATGCTATTATTTAATCTATGACCTTATTCATGGTTTGCCAGTTGTCCCAACAAATCTTTTATTTAAAAAAAAATTCTATTCCAGGATCAAGGCCAGGATTCAGCATTGCATTTCATCTCTTTTTTCTTTAGTCCCCCCCAGTCTGGAATGGCTTCTAAGTCTCCTGGTCTTTCATAACCTTGACATTTTTGAAGAGTACAGACCAGTTAATTTAGTAGATTCTGTGAACTTCTAACGCGATTAGTCTTTGATAGCTTCCTTGCTTTCTGGCATAACAAGATGTCCCAAGTTCATCTGTACCTTCCCTATTCCCTATCCTAAAGGCCATTTCTCTAAAGATCCCTGGTTTCTTTCAGTGGGAAACGGGACATAGAGATGGGAACTGAATTCTGATGACACTGTTAATGGGGATGACGCATGAGTGAGGGTAATGGGTAGGTGAGTAGTGCCCGCTGAAGCAGGGCTGGCCCCCCAACTGTGCCCCAGACCCCTCATCTGTGGGAACAGCATTTTCAGGCTGGCCTTTGTGGACCAGTTTTTCTGACTGGGAAAGTCAGGGGGAATGTATGGCCCTTCTCCACTGGCGTGGCTTTGGGTATGGTTCACGCAGTATAATCCCTGAGTTGTTTTCCTACTCCTTTTCCATTTTATGACTTGTGAGATTTACTTGTCTTTTCTTATCTAACATTATTGATTTATTGGAGGTGCAAACGCAGAACTGGGACATCAGGAGGCTGTCAAGGAAGGGTTAGAACACCTGTATAAACATTAGGTGATTAAGCAAAGCAGAACTGCAGCCATAAATACACACAGTGGCACAGACCGAGTCGATTTGCCCCAGGCCAGCCAGCCCGCCTGTGCATCTCTGGAGGCCACTGTTCTTAGCAGAGTCCTTCCCGTTGTGCTTAGACGGGCTCCTGACTCATTGGGAATATGGCTGTTCTACTATCAGCAATCCTGTCTCTTGTTCTTATGAATTATCTAAAAGAACAAACTTCTTAAGTGATACGCAATCCTGGGTCCTGGGTTCCTACCATTCCACTGTCCCAGGGGCCACAGCTCCCAGGGAAACGGGAAGGCTGAAGTAAAAGGACAAGAAGAGATTACCTGCCTACCCTTGGGATGCTAAGGAGCCTGCACATTTGCCTTATATGTTTTCCATAATGAAGGGTAGCAGAAAATGCTCCAGGGTTGTCTCAGGACAGAACTGCAAGTGTCAGAGAGAAGGGAGATTGGGGGCACCAAAGGAGCAGGGGGTGGGGGTGGGCTGGGGGGAGGCTGGGGGGCAGAAACTGTGGTCCAGACAAGAATCTAAGTGCAGCCATTTCATTGAGCCTCAGCTCAGTTCTCTATTTTCTAAGCACCACTTCCCACCATTCTAGGCTAACTGCCTTTCCTGTCCCTTGCAATGTCTTGGGCAGGTTCAGACACTATAGGCTGTTAAGACTCAGACCAGCTCTGTTTCAAACTTCACTTGCACATGTGACTCAGAGCTTCATCAGCTCCTCTCCCGGAACAAGCTGGGGCGCTGACCCTGGTTGCTGGGAGGATGCGGGAGACTGCGGGTGGGTGTGGTCTGGTTCTGTGATACCTCCCACTCCCTCTCTTTTCAAGGCCTAACTTCTTAGCTTCCCTGGTGTAGAGAGCAACAAATGGAAATGGAAACCGCTGGGGTGGGAATTAAGGGGGGAACAGATCCCTTAATTTAACCTGCTGTGTGTCCAAGACAGGGAGGGCCCCAGGTCTGGCTGGGTTTAGTTCTATCTACTACTACTCGTCTCTGATGATAGGGTGGACTCTGCATAGATGCAAAGATTACATAAGACATGTAATAAGTGTTATTGATCAAATCTTGGTAGGGTACATGTGAGTGCAAAGGACAGAGAGGTCAATTCTAATTGGGGTGTAGAGGGACTTAACCTGCTTTAGTTTCATAAACAACCCAAGAACCAGTGGATTCCAGAAGCTTTAGGAGCCCTATCTGATACAAGAGCTTCATCTAGTACATACAGGGCAAGACTGTTTCAGACACAGTACAGCTCCATGAATGACTTATTCATGAAGATGAGTCCTACTTGGTTTCTCCTGCCTTTAGTGGTTTCTGAACTTGTATGCTGGTGAAAGTTCTGGGAGATGAACAGAGCTGACATGGAACATTCCTCTTCTGCACTTAAAAGTAGTGAGCCACTCAACTGCCAAGACACGGTAACAACCTCAATATCCATCAAGAGGTGAATGGATAAAGAAGATGTGGTGTATATATACACAATGGAATACTACGCAGCAATAAAAAAGAATGAAATAGTACCATTTGCAGCAACATGGATGGACTTAGAGATTATCATACTAAGTGAAGTAAGTCAGAAATGAAAAACAAATGCCATATGATCAGTTATATGTGGAATCTAAAAAAAAGACACAAATGAACCTATCTACAAAACAGAAACAGACTCACAGACATAGGGAACAGACTTGTGGTTGCCAGCAGGGTCGTGGGGGTGGAGGAGGGATGGATTGGGAGTTTGGGGTTAGCAGATGCAAAGTATTACACTGTATATAGGATGGATAAACAGCAAGGTCCTACTGTATAGCACAGGGAGCTATATTCAATATCCTGTGATAAACCATAATGGAAAAGAATATAAAAAAGAATGTATATATATGTATGTATAACTGAATCACTTTG